ATTGCAATAATACAACGTCCTCCAATAAATGACTGCTACATTTATTAAAACACTAGAGCAGGGCGCTCCTTTCGGAGCTCCTAGGGGGGGTTGGTCAAGTTTGTAAAACGCAACCAACCTTGGTTAGTCCCGAAGAGGAGTTAGTTTAGTGTCTCATTCAAGTGTTTTAGCCCCTGAGTAAGAAACTAAATTAACCTCCCCCAATGGGGGGTTTAAACACTTGACCTACCCCCCGAAGGGGTTTTGTTGCGTTTTAAAATCTTGAGTAAGACACTAAACTAACCCCCGTGTATAAACAAGTATAAGGTGATATTGTTGATGACGTCATTTTTTGACGATAACGATGGCTAATCCTTTCGGTTCGCTTCCTGTAATCTGATATTTTACTTCTTTACGTCGCTGATCAGAGGCCAACAGTTCTTGGTTAGTCAACTTTCTACGTCCAACCACACCCTTGCAAGTCTTCTTTTTTATTTCCTCTTCTGTTTTTTGTTGAATACGTTTTTCTGTGTTTATCAATGTAAAACTTCCTTCTCTTTTCTTCATTTGTTAGTTCAAATTCTTAAGATTTTTCATTGCTATTGAGAGGCCAATTGTTCTTGGTTAGTGAACTATCTACGCCCAACCCACACTTGCAAGTCTTCGTTTGTTTTCTTCTGCTCTTCTGTTCTTGTTGAATAAGTTTTTCTACCTTTATTAATTTTAGTCTCCCTTCGCTTTTCTTTATTTGTTAAATAGGTCTGATATTTAAGATTTTACATCGCTGTTCAGAGGCCAACAGTTCTTTTACGTCCAGCCCCACCCTTGAAAATCTTCGTCTCAAAATCGATCATAAAGTCAGTTCTTATAATAGTTTTCATAATCGTAATATATCGAATTCGAATGAGTATATGAGCCGGGATAGCTCAGTCAGTATAGTGACTAGCTACGGGCTGGACGACCGGGGTTCGATCCCCGACGGGGGCAGAAGATTTTTCCTCTAGCCTCTGCGTCCCTAGTGCCGAGGTCAAGGAAGAGAGGAGCTATACCTCCACTCCCCCCAAACGCCTACATGGCGTATAGCGGGACAAACTTTACTTTACTTTACTTATCGAATGAGTATGACTTTACCTTGTTGGAGTTGGTACTTCAAATACTTGATAACTTTTTCTTTCACTTTTCTGATGTTTTAGGCCGACTGTCAGTCAATATTCAAGAATGCTAAGTGCTCCTTCTGGAGCAGTGATAATGCCACTGGCTTGATATTCTTTGATTTCTTTTGTTGTGAAGCGTTATTTGTTTACTCGGCATTGTTGTGTCGACTTCAACAATGCCAACAGATATTTGTTTACACGGCATTGTTGTGTTCCACAACAATGCCGAGTAAACAAATATCTGTTGGCATTGTTGATGACGTCATTTTTTGACGACAAATTGGTTGAAGACAACGACTAATCACAAATTTTTATAGTAAAAAGATTACTTACTGAAGAAGAAATAAAAAACCAAACTTATATAACAGCACATAACAATATAAAACAGTAAAATAAACGCAAAAGGATTGAACAGCTAACCTCGCAAAGGAATAAAGATACAAAGTAATCATATCTTTGTAATATTCAGTAGAACTAAAGAAAAAATCAATGTCGTAATGTCTACTTAAAAATGTCATCCAACTTATAACACGCTAATGTTTAGCAAAACTCATTTCCCAACAGTTTCATATTTCACAGGAAACATTTAAAAAGGCTTAGCAATTCTGTCAGTCAAAACAAACGGCCATGTGATCTCCATCAGCTGTCATGAAGCTTGTTTATTACTCTGCCAATGAAATACTCCATTAGTAACGAGTGACGACATTGATCGCGATCAACGATAAATACCAACTACTGATACACGAGGAGCGCGTCATTTTGGATTACAGATACGGCCATCATTATGAATGTGCGTGCATCAGCGTGTCAAAGGACAGAAATCCTGCTCATATCAGCGACGTCACTGCCGATCACCCCTTTCTTAGAGAATTTTTCCAGCTTTACGACTGCATTCTCTTTTAAATAAAGATAGATATCACCTTCGGTTCCATACAAGCACTTTGTTGTAGTGTTCATAACTGTGACCAACAAATTTGGAAATGTACAAGCTTTCGAAGTGGGAGAACTTACAGCGCTTTTAAGTGGAGGGTTTTAATTAATTTCACACATTAATTCCCAAACATGCACGATACTTTAATAATATCCTCCGATCGGAACATCGATATTGCAATGAGATTTTTAAACCCAAATCCTGTACGTTGGTCCTGTCGTTTTTATCCACACATGTTCCTAGTCATTAGATATCAAAATTACCTGTCAACAACAGTGATTACACTAATTTTCTTATTTAACGTGGTGATCCTACCAACTTTCTGCTACACATTTTCCCAGTTGTGGGAATCCTGTGGTCCGTGGTCACAGCCTGAGACCGTTGTTAATGAATGTCGTAGACCCAGACCTCTGTGTGTGTGGTCTTTTGACAGCAGCATTAAGCCACTTGGAAATGTATCACGAATAAGAGTGAATAAGAGTGGGTTGATGTTGAGGGGATTCGACCAAAGATTCATCCACCAGCTGCACTGGTCCCCATCCCGTTCCTGTCTCAACAGGAAAAAGGAAGTACGTATATACAACATCCACTTATCTCGAAGTGTGGCCGTCTCTCTCGATACACAGATAAAAAGTTTCGAAATGAACGCTGCTGTTCATTCTCAAACAAGAGGAAATAACTTTAGATAACATTCTGATTTACTGTGAACTGGTGGGGACTTCAGTGCATATCGCTTACACAGAGACTTTCATATGCATGGCACACAAGTACAAAAAAAAATCTTCCCTGTTCGAATCACAATTGCATGCATTATTTGGTGCTGATAAATTTAACTTCGACTCCATAATTGATCTGAAGGTATCTGAGACAAACCGTCCTCGTTTCTTTGTTAAAACTCTGAAGAAGGATCCATAAAACTGTTTTTCTCTGCGCTATTTATCTTCGAATCTTTTGAAGATGGGCCCGGAGAAGGTCATTAGCATGACACACTGTGTTCGATATCACCGACCACAGCAACATTTCTCCAATGTACGCATAACACGCAGTGTAACAATGAATCGAACACCGCCACACAGTGTTTTTTTTATCGTCGAATTCCTGCAATACCGTCCCGTTACATAAACCGAGCCGTAAAGCGCACTGCCAAAATCGCTGCTCTGGAGCACAGGCGCCAAAGTAAACTGACGCGGACAATAATAGCCGATCGCAGCAAAAGCGAGGTCTCAAACGCGTTAAGATCTTGGACCACCAGAAGCTTGAGATCACAGGTTTAAGTTTCTCTCGAGGAAAATATATAGCCATTATTCGTGTTATTATGTATCGCGCTGCCCTGTGTAAAAATTAGCATTGCAGTCGGCTGATCCCCCATCTATAGTGCCCTACCCACCGCCTGATTCTTTGTTCGAGAATCAATCCTGCGTCGTAACACGCCTCCAATCCAGGTGAAAGATGGTTAGGCGGAACATGATGACGATTACGTGTAAGTCAGGAAGAAAGTGAAAAGGCGGCTTGGCATATCTTGTAAGGAATTATCTACCGAATGTCCTCAGTATCTGTGGCTAAAACCTGGTCATCGAGAAGAAAAACAGATTGCAGAAGAAACAAGGTTGATGCGTGCACTCACTCGCTGGTTGATACCAACGTTTTCGAGAACACAGGCTTGCTGTTTCCATCTTCAGGTCAGGGCTGAAGATGAAGACAGTATGTTTCTCTGAAACGTTGGTATCTACTTAGGAGTCCACACGGCGTAACAAAGCAGAAGGACATTGACATTTTTACCGCCGT